TTCAACCATGAAAGACTATATATATATATATATATATATATATGTATGTATGTATATATCTCACAACCTGCTTGTGAAAACCAAGAAGGAAGTGATTACAACGATGGCTACATGTGATTTCAACCATGAAAGACTACAAGTTATTGATATATGGTCAGAAGGTGTTGCAATTATAGATAGCAATGTGTGTTAACCATAGAAGGGTTATGGAGAGTTTGCAATTCACGTGATTGCAAAGGAATCCAAACCAAGATGTATTTGTTTTATGTTCTTAACCTTGATAATATATGATTAATTATATCTCAATTGCACCAATGAGACAGGTATATCAGTTTCAAGTGATCTCTAACAATGGGACAATGGGTTATTTTCTGTAGTTTTCACCTTAATATCTAGTCCTTCTTACTGAGCAATCTCATAAAGAATAGAAAATCTACTGAGCAATCTCATAAAGAATAGAAAATCCACTTTCTTTATTATAGGACGAGCTACGGAAAATTTACTCCCAACCGCACGAGCTCACGAAGATTGAAACCATTACTAACCCCCTTATTAAAGGGGCCAGAAAATACGACTCCCTTATTGATAGAGCGAGCTAACCAAGCTTAAAATAATTATACCCCTTATTAAAAAGGGTCAAAATCAGAAGTGTTTCATACTATAAGAGCCCGAACTAAGTAAAACTCGTAATAATCATCCCAGTATTATAAGGGATTAATATAAAAGTGCCCCGTACTATAAGGGCCCGAGCTGAATGAAGCTCGTAATTATCGTCCCCCGTATTAAAAGGGGTCGAAGTCAAAGTGCCCCGTACTATAAGGGCCCGAGCTGAATGAAGCTCATAATTGTCGTCCTCCGTATTAAAAGGGGTCGAAATCAAAGTGTTCAGTACATACTATAAGGGCCCGAACTGAATGAAGCTCGTGATTGTCGTCCCCAGTATTAAAAAGGGTCGAAATCAAAATGCCCCATACTATAAGGGCCCGAGCTGAATGAAGCTCGTAATTGTCGTCCCCCGTATTAAAAGGGGTCGAAATCAAAGTGCCCCGTATTATAAGGGTCCGATATAAATGAAGCTCGTAATTGACATCCCCGTACTAAAAGGGATCGATGTCACAGTGCCTTGTATTATAAGGGTTCGGGTAAAGTGAATCTTGTAATTATCCCTCCCCGGCCCCCACTAATACAAATCGAAATCGATGTCTCCCGTATTAACAAGGCCACCATCATTAAGACTACACCTCTTTCCCCCATAAAGGAATGAAGGGTCGACTTCATCTTCTTCTTTTGGTAAAGAGACGAGGGGTTAACTACTCCCCTATTAAAGGGTAAGCTCATGAAATTCGGACAAATCCACTCTCTTATTAAAGAGGGCAAGAAAGTAATCACCAAACATGCTTAGCTTGGAAGGACTTAGCATTCCCGACGTTTGACAAGCAAGATTACAGGAATGGGGGGCTACTGATACGGAATATTCGACTAGATAAGAATTCCAAGTGACATGGAGACTCAAATGGTATAGATAAACTTAAGGAGATAGAAATAACAACTACTACGGCCTCTCTATTGAGTCAATCCATAATGGATAAGGAAAATAAATTTGTTTCATGACAGAAGACTATTACCATTAATACTTCTATAAAAGAAGTTATTGATCAACCTAAAAAGATAGGCCATAAATCCTATATTTAATCCTTTATTGGATATTCAATCGTCAGGTACTAACTTAATCGTCGGAGTGCACTCGGCCGACACTACGCCGGTCATCACTTTCTCTTGTCTTGCAGGAATCACCACCGGCTCTGGAGCGTGCGGATTTTTGTATCAACAGAAACCAACACAAAGTAGATTAGATTATATTGTATGAGTAATTAAAATAGTTTTTACATGACTGAAAAGAGTCTTATGTTTATATATTTCAGCACAAAAAGAAAACGAAAAGAAGAGAAAATAAAAGAAAAAGATGTAAAATAAATAAAAATTGCCTATGCGGCTAAAAATATATGTTAAGAATGGTCTCATTTAAAAATATATATAATCAGTTCAAACCGAGCCGTGTACACTCCTGGAGGATTGTGAGAGATTGGCTAATCCTATGAAACTTGATTTTCAAGTCTTACGCATTCAAGAGGACGAAATATGATGTCAAAATTTGACACTCCGTAAATGCAATGGACAATCAAGGGTAGTGGAGAGTAAATAAGACATTCCAATGATACAAGCTCAAATGTCATTTTTTATTCGTTTAGATTAAAACAATATTGTTCCTACGTTTATTCAAGCGTAAGGATTACTGTAATAATGAACCGAGTTGAAAATTTATAAGAGGTATCTCTATTTTTAAATGTTAAGCCGAAAAATATTAATTTATTTTTATTTTTACGGTGGGTTCCATATTTCATATGTATATAAGTCTTTTACTTTTACTATTATTATATGTTATATGAACCAAGGAAGAAATAGAAATAACAATGTGGAAAACAAGACAGGAATTCTCTACAATGACACTGTAGACCAATTGAAGGGATGTGGCGCAGCTTGGTAGGGCATTTGTTTTGGGTACAAAATGTCACGGATTCAAATCCTGTCATCCCTACCTATTACTTCTACTTTGAACAGCAATGAAGGATCAATTGAGATCAATTCAAATTGAACATACATAATCTTTCATTTTTATGATACAAGTTCATATTATATCTCAAAATTATTTAAATTTTTACATATGAGCATACCAAATGAAGAATTTTTTTACAAATTTATAAAATTCTTTTACATATTTAGTATATAGATTAGGCATAATCTCATAAAATTCTCTCCTCTTTACCAAAACTAAGCCCGTTTCCAACCCTATTTTTTTACAAGCCCAAAACTTTTATACTCTTAAAAATGTTGACTATTGGGCCATGATATGGGCTAACTATCCAGCCTCAATGTATCAGATGAACTACAACTACAAAACCCACTGTGAGCTACTACTAACAGTGGAATACACTTCTCTGAATCCCTAAGCGAGGATCTTGTCATTTCCTGAAGAAGGACTGGGATAAGAGCTACAATGCTATTATCAAGAGATTACAGGATGACGCAGTGGAGGCGACAGATGAGCTAGAGGCTGAGGAGGCAGCAGCAGCAGACCCGGCAGCGGACGACATACCAGTCGATCCGGCTGCCGTACATATGGATATTGATTTGGAGCAGCTTATCGAGGACGCAGAGCAGCCCTCTCCAGTTGGGTCACCCATTCATGATGCGGAGCAGGCTCAGGATCATCATTCTCCTGATCTAGCCACACCTGAGGCTCCAGCACAGACACCCGGCTTTGGAGAGCAACTCTAGGCTTTGGAGGATGATGTCGTATTTATCCGTGCCGACACAGTCTTTCTTCAAGAGGATGCTGTCTCCATTAGAGCTGATATTGCTACCCTCCGTACGGACGTCCTGACTGCATTCAGGGATCTATCCATAGACATCCACGGAGCGCGACCTGCCCGTCCTACCTCTTCTTCCTAATCTCTCTATCCCTTTCCTCCTATTATTTTATATATCTGTGATCTCATCATGTTTTTGATACTGTTATACTATTTTTGCAGCCGTGTCTGTCGGCTCTGATACTGGATGTACTATACTTTATTTTTATTTATATATGTTTTCTGTATGGATGTCATATTTGCATTTTCTTATTGCTATCTGTTTGACTCCATCAGGTGCATCTCAGTGACTTCAATAAGAGAGAGTGCTGCACAATTTTCAGTACCACCCTTATACCTCTCTCTATTTTCAGTTGTATCCCATTTACACTTGCATGACCACTGTGCACTGTATTATCCCTTTTGTTATCTGATGAGTTTATCCGAGTGCCAAATTTCAGGACCACAGTTAATCCCAAGTTTGGGGGGGCTATGCAACCCACTTTGGATACTTCTGTCCCAGCCATTCTTTACCTTCATTGCACTGGTATACTCTTTCCTTTTGTTCTCTTTGCACATTGAGGACACTGTGCCATTAAAGTTTGGGGGTAATGGTGCTTTGCAGTGTTTGTTTTTAAATTCAAAATTTTAAGCATGACTTGTGTATTTGAAATATTTTCTATGATTGGTCCATGTTAGCTATGATTTTGATCTTTTGAGGACTATATTGCTTAGAATTTAAAAATTGCATGACTTGAGAGTCCAATACTCCTTGTATGCCTTGCGGATGCCATTTAGGAGTAAATTTTTCGAAAAATTGATATATTGCTTACACTTGTGGTCCACATCATCCTGATTTTGTGATTGTTTTGAGATTCATTTTAGGATTCTACACTAGCACAGGCGCACACTAGCATTCATTTGTGGGGTACATGATTTGTTGATTATTGAATTGGTTATATCCCAATTGAGCTAGTAGTGCATTGAAAGCTTTCATTCTTGATAAAGGTGGATAACAACCCCTTTTCACTAAGTAGCCTGGATTCTAGCCTCATCAAGCACTGAACTTCTCGCGCCGAAAGGTGGAGGGCCCAAACTCTAGGTTAATAATTGAACTTATTTAAAAAATAAAAAAAAATAAAAAAATAAAAAGTTGTTGCAAAAGTAATAAAAAAGTGAGGACTTCTCCCAAAAGGTGGGAAGTGGGAAATGATTAGATGGAGGTTGTTTTGATTTGTAGCCTAGTTGATTTGAGCTTGTAAGTCCGTAGAGGTGTTTGAACACCTAGTGCCAAATTTCACTGAGAACCAAGCTCTCACGATCTCTTACCTCACACAGTCATATGGGTTGTCTCTAAAATCCGCTATCTCAGCTTCTAAGAGGCTCAACAGTAAGAGCACAGAAAAACCGAACTAGATTCTGGAGTTCCTAAGGTCCCATGGTTTCACTAAACATCACATTTCAATCCTCATTTCTAGACGCCCAAATAGAATTTTGTTTGATCCACATAGAAATTTGAGACCAAAATTTGAGTTTTTTGAATCTTTGGGTCTTGTCGGACCTGACTTACCTAGGATTCTCTGTAAATCCAACATGTTAGATAGCAGTTTAGAAAACCAAATCAAACCCACATTTGATTTTCTTAAAGGATACGTAAGGGCCAATGAGACTTTAATTCTTGCAGTTAAACAATCTATCCGCGTCCGCCTGTGCAACGTTCAGAAAGTTATGGTGCCAAACATCGACACCTTGTGGGCTCATGGTGTGCCTAAATTCCACATTGAAAAACTGATCATGATGCAGCTTAGAGCACTAATGTTGGGAGTTGACGTGTTTAAAAACGTTACTGATGCAATTAAGGAAATGGGATTTGATCCCAAAAGTCAATCATGGGCTATCACTTCAATGTCGATGAATACCAAACACAATTGGGAAAAGAAAAAGGAAGCTTTCATGAGCTTTGGTTGGTCTGAAAGCACATTTTTGCGACTGATATTTATGCTTGGCTCAGAGAAGAAGATCAGGGAACTCATGGATTTCTTGGTGAACAAGGCGGGGTTAGGAGCATCAGAGAATGCTAAATGCCCAAATCTTATTCGAAATAATTTAAGGAGAATCAATCCAAGATGTTCTGTTCTGCAAGTTCTGATGTCAAAGGGTTTGATTGGGAAGGAGGTAAATGTGCTTTGCGCGTTAGATTGTGGCAAAAAGCGATTTGAGACCAGGTTTTTGACAAGTATAAGGAGGTAGCTCCAGAGGTACTCAAAGCGTACAAGGGTGAGATAGAATTTCATGGATTCAATACTTGATTGTAGGACAACGCGGAATCAGAGAACCAAACAACGGCTAGTTATGAGTGTTTTTTTTTTTTTTTTTTGGGTGGGGGGATTGAGTTTAACATTTGTTATTTTGACCTCCTATTTGACACCTATGCTCAATGACACCCTTTTATTTTCTTTTCAGCAGATGTGCGGACCGAATTTTATAAAATTATAATTTTGCCCTTCCCTTAATGCAATATATTATAAGGACATTATTGACTTTTTACATTGAACGTCACTTTCTAGTAAGACAATGCATTTAGAAGAGATCAAAATAATAAACGTTGAACTATTGTAATTTACTCTAAGGCCTAGTTTGGTGTGATGGAATGGAGGTAGAATGGAATGACCATTCCACTTTCTCATTCCTTTCTCTTATTTGGTGTGCCCCTTTAAAAGTGGAATGACCATTCCCTTGGAATGCTCATTCCAGCTTTTAGATGGAATGACCATTCTTCTTTTGGACTTGTGGAATGGTCATTCCATTCCCACTAAATTAAAATAATAAAATGCAAAGACCAAAAAAAACCCATACGTATTCTTTTTTACAAATCTGGCAAATTCTCCTCCATCTCTCCTCTCTCATTACGCGATTGTACACCCTCTCTCTCTCTTCTCTTTCTCTCTTCACACTTCACTGTATACCATGGAATATATATCTCCCTCTCTAATTCAAATGATGCAATTATTGAAGATTTTGTTATTAAAACTTTCAAAGAACGTCGCCGGAGAAGATGATTGGAAAATTCGTCGAGCGAGTGAGATCTAAGGCTGTTCTCCGATGGCGACGCCTCCCCTCTGTTCGATCACCTTCCAATTCGTCTTTATCTCGAGAATCTAGTTGAGAAATTTCCTAATATAGAGTACTTTCCAGACGACGATGATGCCGGCAATGTTGAGATTAATGGTGAGAGTTTGGGGCTAGAGATCAATTGAACATGAGGAAGACAATCATAACCACTCTTTCCTAGTTTCATGTTTGGTAAGACACCTCTGACGATTGGGCAAAAAAGCAAGACGAACTGGAGCTTTAATTTGCCAAGTCTTCAACCTCATCCTTCCTTTTCAATTCTTTTTTCTCGTTTATTTTCTATCTCTGTCTCATCTATTTTCTCTTTTTATTTTTACAAATGTTAATTTTTTTAGTTAATTTTTTTTTTACTAATAATAAAATATAATTTAAAGAAACAATATAAATTCATTATATTCTAACTTTCTTACCAAATAGTGGAATAAGAATTGATCATTCCATTTTTACACATTCCATGTTTAGAACCAAACGGTAGAATAAAAATCATCAGTCCCATTCCATTCTCATTCCATTCCCATTCCATTCCAATTCATTCCACCACACCAAACTAACCCTTCATAATTTACTTTTGGGTGGGTTACTTTTGAGGTGGGATAGAGCTGCAAACCGAGTTGTTTATAATTAGCTCGGACTCAGCTCGTTAAAAGTTCGCCTCGAACTCGTTCATTTAGTAAACGAGTTGAGCCTGAACTCGATTTTCAAGCTTATTTACTAAACGAACCGAACTTGAGCAACATTGAGCTCGGCTAGTTAAGCTCGTTAATACAAAGGCCCAATTATATTGACATTTTGCATTTAAAAGATTTAACCCAAATTAATATAAGTGTGGCCCAACTCAATAATAAGCCCAAAGAGTTTAATTCATTAGCCCATGAGTTCATCTCGATCATTAATATATCACATGGAGGCACATTTTAGATTGCTAATGTTAAGAAAAAGAAAAATAAAACCCTAGATTTCTTAGTTTGCTAATGTTCATATTGAAAATTTGTTTTTGTATTGAGTCGATTTAACCTTGTAAAGGTTGATTTCATCTTCAAAAGGAGTTCTGTATTTCTTTTTTTCCAGCCCAAGCAAGCACCTCTATGTAGATGACAAGTCGATCCCGAGCAACCCAAAGCTAAGCTCAGCTCGGCTCATTTGCAGTCCTGGGGGTGGATGGGGTGAAGGGGTGGTGGTTCGGTTATGATTCGACCCTCCAATCCTATGCTATCTTGGGGTTGACAATTTTTTTTTAGGGTTGACAAAAACTGTGGTTTAGCATTGAAAGAAGGTTGACAATGCTATTTTGTTTTTGTATTGAGTCGATAGAACCTTTTTTTTTTTTCGGGCTTTTTTCTTTTTAATCCAAAATTTTAAAATCAAATGATGAAGAACCATCATCAATAAGTAAATAAATACAGGAACTACCAGAAAATGTTAGGACATGATTAAGAACTACCATCAGTAAACCAATATACACCACTGCTTGAAACTGAATTTATATTGTAACTCAAGAATAACCAATGAATCACATTGGTAAACAAAAATGTACACGGATACACCTGAACCGGTACGTGAAGAAAATGAGATTCAATTAAATTTAATAAATTAGTGAAAAAATAGAAGGTAAATATGGCAGCATCAGGTTGTTTTCCCAGCAGCCAAATTGTTTGCACTCACCGTGATCGGCCGGCCCAGGAAATAGGGGGATGTGAGCAATAAGTTGCAAAGGCTACAACTTCACTTGAGCAAAATCTGATTCAGAGGCTGCTATCTACATCAATTTGTGTATTGCTGAAACTACAATTTGTAGTCTGCATGGAGGAACCTCTCAAATGAGGTTCCATTAAGCGCTTTCCAGATATCATCCCAATTATCAACGTGTTCTGATAAGGGGCCTTTATGTATCTTAACTTGACGGCTACTAAGGTTTCTATATGGTACTCGCATGAACTCTTGAACATCCACAAGTTTCTGCAGAAGAAAATTAAGAAAAATTATAGCTGAGAATTGAGAGAAGTAACAAATGGTGTTCAAGTCTTACAGTGTGGTTGCTGACAATATCCTCATAGTAAAGAACGATATGGCGAGTGCTTTTAAAGTATTCTATAGCTTTAGCAGTCATCTCCTCCGCTTCCTTTAGATTCGGTAAAAGTAATGTGGCGTTAATGCTAGGCTTGTACTTAGCAAGTATTTGAGCCTGCAAGGCATTAGCAACTATGAAACTACGAATTACAATATTTACACACATAAGAGACAGAGAGAGAGAGGGCGAGAGGACCTCCTTTGATGAATGCACATGAGACTTGTGGGTTCCATTCAATAGCTTAGCATTGGTGTCATATGAATTAGCAAGCAGAGAAATCATTCTACGCAGAAGATTCCTTCGCAAGAGAAATATTGCAGACACACCTCTTTTATTGAAGTACTCTACTATCTCTTTGTGATGAGCCATCAGTCCCTGCAAGACATATAGGTTCTGTAAGACTTGAGAAAAGCTCTCTTAAAACAATAAGGTAAAAGGTTAAGTACTTAAGTTTCCTTAAAACATATTACAGGAGCCCGAAAAAAATTTGAGAGGGGACGGCCTCGAACACAAGAAGTTTAAAAAAACTCAAACAACTAATAAACAAAATAACTTTAACATTTATCGTATCAAGTTAACATATTAGAAAAAAATTAGGTATATTATATAAGTAAAGAAAATTTTGGTTGGGGCAAATATTTAGTGGGAGCATTATTAGAATTTTAGCAAAAATTGAGGTCTATAATATAAATAAAGGGAAACTCAGTGGGGGAGGCCGCCCCCATTGACTACTACATAGCTCCGTCCTTGAGGATGACCACTCCTTTTGGACTTGCAACCTAATTATCTCATTGCACAAAGAGAACAAGAATATATATATATATATATATCACAGCCTTCTATGCCCATGACTGTCTTGCGTTCCTCTAATTGCATATCCACTGGCATGCCAAAATGCTGCTCTAATTCTTTAATGAATAAATAAATAAATAAAATAATGCAATTATGTTGGCTTCTTTTCTTTTCTTTTTTTTTTTTCTTTTCTTTTTTACTTTTGAATCTTTCTAACGTTTCATTTACTGACATACTTCAATTATTTCCTGCTGGCAATGCAAGCATAAATGAACTAGTTGGGACCACAAAATGATAACTTTCCACATACATACTCAAGTTTCTCTAGTAGTCTTCTGTCATTGCCCACAAGAAGCCGCGTCACAAAGAGGAGGGTAGGGGTCGCCAGGATGTGAGTTAACTTGTCAAATAAAATAAAATAAAAAAGTTCAACTCGGATGCCCCATTAACTTCATTCTAATTTCTTCCTTTTATTTCAATAATGTATCTAACCAATAGCTACATTTGGACCCCAAGGAGTTGGCTCAAGTGGGTAAGTGTTACAAAGGGGAGCTTGTCCCACATCAGATCCGGATGAAAAAATGAATAGGTATAAATGGGTTAATATGCAACACTAGCTATTAGGTAAATGAACAAGCGCCCACCCGTTACACTTACTATCAGAGTCAGACCCAATCCTTAATCCGGTGTCATGCCAAGAATGTTACCCCGAGTAGGCGAGTTTAGGTGGAGCAGAGTGTTACAAGGGGGAGCTTGTCCCACATCGGATCCGAATGAAAAAATGAGTGGGTATAAATGGGTGTTGCCCACCCGTCAGTGGCTAAGATTAGACTCTTCTTGAGTGCAAAAAATTCCTTTAGGAAAAAAATATATATAGCTGCATTTTGTAGTTTTTTCATTTAGCTGCTATTGCTCTATGGGTAATTTGTAAATTTACACTACTGCTCCATATACAGACAGGTTGTACAACTATAAACTTAATAGTCAAGACTCTAGACCCCACCCACTCCATTTGGGCCCTCCAAGACAGGAAAAGCAGTGTTCAAAAATCCTCAAAATATATGTCAGGAAGGTCTGGTGCAAGTTTCACAATATAAGATCTCTATACATCTGAAAAGTACTCCCAGCTTGCAATCATTCTTGCACCTAAATTGGTATCAAACTTTTCAAACACCTTAAGCAGAGACCATTTCACATGGTAGAGATAACACTTCATTCACGTCCTCGGGAACACTTGGTTTTGCTACTTCACTACGCTAACATTTCAATATTCAAGGTCCCCAAAGCAACAATGTAAAATCAAAAAGTGGGTATATGTCTATGCTTCTCAGGATAATTATATCCACATGGAAACAGAAGCTTTAGCTGTGGTCACATGTTTCAAGGAAGGCTTTGTAGGTGAAATAGAATTAGTGTTCCAAGCTATCTGGAACAATGAATAAGCGAAAATTGTAGACTACAGGATGCCTTCATACTAGCATAATAAATAGGGTAAATTACACTTAGACCCCCTGAGGTTAGGTCATTTTTTAGCTAGATGAAGATTTTAGTTTTAATTTTCACTTATATTTGAAAGAGTGATTTCGTATTTCACTTGCACCCCAAATGTCAATTTATAGTGATTTCAGAATTATTTTAAGTGTAAAATGACTATAAAACCCTTTTGACTTTGTATTGATTTTATCATATATATAAAATGACTTAATTACCCCAACATACCCATTTGAAATTACCAAAATGTCCCCAAACTGAATCCTGTGGACAGAGTTTATTGGTGGAATCAGTAGCTCGGCGGGAAGCTTGAAATGCTGACACTGATGATGCTGAAATGCAAGGAACAACAACCAAGGAATGAGCTGGTAAGAGGTGGATCTGTTCCGCAAAAACGAGCAGTGATGGGTGGCGGTTGGCAATCGCTGAATTGGGGTGGGTTTGTTCCGGCGTCGGTAATGATGGATGACATGAATCCAAGGCATCATGGAACGGCGAGAATAGGAGGCTATGATGAGTGGACGATTAACGTTTCTGGCAAACTTACTGGCAGAACTGTCTTCACAGGTGAGCATGGAGTGCACGCCGGCGAAATGGGTCTACGGTGATGATGGACGGCAGTTCAAAGCGACGGCGATGGCTGGTGATTGATGGGCCGACGATGTTAAAGATGATGGCATGGTTTTGACGGCGACGGATTGAGCAGCTCAACATGGACGACAGTACAGAATGGCAGTGGGAACACTCCGTCCAAACTCTCTCCATCGTCACCACCATCTTGCAACCGGCAAAACTTACCGGCGGGCTGCGGAAATGTCTTCACCGGTGAGCAGAGAGTGCACAGCGGCAAAGTGGGTCTAGTGATGATGGACGGCAGTTCGAAACGAAGTGGGTCTGTGGTGATAATGGGTCGGCGATGGCGAAGATGATGACATGGTTTTGATGGCGACGGATTGAACAGCTCAACATGGACGACTGTGCAGAATGGCAGTGAGCTCGAATGGGAATGCTTGGTTAATGGGCCGGCGATGGCAGAATGGCAATGACCCAGAAGCCGCTAATGAAGATTACGATAGCATGGGATTGGGGACTTTTTTGCTGTAGGGTCGCCGAGGAGGCGGCCTAGGTCGGCAGAATAGTCGATGATGAAGACGGCAGCGCATACAAGAGCGGTGCCGGTAGCTATGAAGGGGCGGCGGCACCGAAACGGGAGGTGCAGCGATCGATGTAGTAGCCGGCAACTGGATATATTTATATATGGGCTTTTTGTCATTTAAGAATACACATATTTTGTATTAAATAAGTAAGGGTAAAAGGGTCAATTCACATGTATCAGAAGTGTAAAAGTAAGTTGGGGTGTAAGTGAAAGTTAAAACCAAAATTTTCATTTAGCTGAAATATGACTCAATCTCAGGAGGTGTCAGTGTAATTTGCCCTAATAAAAAATATAGAAAATTTATATTCTTAGATTATATATTTGGTGTAAATAACATTTTCTTATAGAATAGCATTTACATATATAGACCAAAAATATAAAGCTGTACAAATATATGATGTAAATTTGAATCATTAAAAATTTCGTTTGTTTCGTGGAAAAGAGCTAAATTACTCTTGCTTGGCAAATACTACAGTATTAAAAGCAATGCATCACATTTTCTGAACATATCAGACAAAAAATCGGGAATTCTCTTTTCCTAGAGTGAACATGCTTACCTTGCTACATGATTTTTAGAGTTCGAGAGAAAGCCCAAAACTTTTAGGGGAAATGGTTTCTAAAAAAGATGTTCACATAAGAGTAAATTGAAAAGTTGAGGTTTAGTATTTCCTACTATGATCTACATTTCTTTATACCTCTCCTATTGCTTCTACACTAAACACATTTTCCATATTTCTTCTCGTGGTTACTTCCAATTTCTATTTCCCATGTCTTCTCAAGTAACCCACTTTGTCAAAAATGAACCAGATTTATATAGTTTATACATAGCTAATTCAAGGACCGACATCTTCGGGGAAAAAATGACCTTGATATTTACTATATATAGATAATCAATTAAGTTGAACAATAGGATCACTCATCTAACAAAAGTAGATTACTAGGTTTCCCTTAAAAAGCACACAATTCTAAAATTTATGCTACCCACCTGATTAAGCATCCATTTGAACCCAACGGCAGCCGAGCACTCATTCTTGGAGGCACTACTCATCCAATCAAGATTATATAATTTATCCATTGTATTCAAAATGGTCGAAACATTCGTCCTCCTCTCTTTGACAGAGAAGATTTCTCCATTCGAGCTCACATTCATATGACTATTCAACAATGTCTCAAACCATCCACTCCCGGATCTCTGCATCGACAAGATGGCAAAGTACCGGACCGGATTGCAGGCACATTCCTCCCTACAAATGAATTGAAACCCATAATTTCTATAAAAAAATATGAAATTCAACCCGAAAACAATAAACCACAGACAATAGTTTTTCCAAATTACCTGCCAAAGGAATTGGGTTTTGGGAAATGCACATATTGGATTTCCCATTCTTCAATTGGGGGCTTACGACAAGGCTGGTCAAACACTCTGATGTTTAGAAATTTAGTTTTTTCCATGATGCTTGTTTGCTTTAGACAAATTGAGCAAATATATACTCCACAAACCATAGCAAAAAGCAAAACCACAGTTCTTAACAACAGTGGAGATTTCTTTGGTGCTTTTATGACCAGTATATCCTGTAATAATATAGAGGTAACCCAGATGTTATTTTTTTGCTTAAAAATGTATAATAATGATACAGCTTATGAATCTGTAAAATGAAGATAACAGAATAAAATTAAGTTAAAATCATTAATTAAAAAAAAAAAAAAAATTGCAGAAATTAGTCAGTAGTACCATAGGAGAGAGGAGCTAAGCAATGGTTTCCACCTAAAAATCTCCATGAAGAAGTCAGAGAAAAATGGAAGGAGTAAAATCAGATTTTGGGTGTGATTCTGTTTTATATATTTTGAGAGAAAATAGGCAAAAGAAATGGTCAGAGTATGCTACTTGAAATAATCAAATCATAGAGCATTTAAGGCTTCACATTTCACAATATGGAGTGAAGGAAAAAAAACAAAACACACACACACATATAAATGTTCTTGTAACCTTTAAATGCAATACATATTCAAAAACTTGTCAAAAATAATAAATAAATAAAAATAAAAAATAAAATCCTAAACACCATAACTCTATTTGAAAATTTGAATGATAAAAGGGTAAAGAATGAAAATAGAAATGATGAAAAAAAAAAAAGGTGAGAGAGACCATGATTTGTGAACACACACCTTGTGGAAGGAGCATATATCTTCAGACATTCTTTGGGGGAAGAAGGAACACAGAGATGAAAAGGGCATTGATGGTCTTTTCCTTTTCCTTTTCCTTTTCCTTTTCCTTTCTCTCTCTCTAAAGTTTAAAACTTAAACTCTCTCTCTCTCTCTAAAAAGTAATATTGTTTTAGAGAGAGAGAGAGAGAGAGAGAGAGAGGGAGAGAAGAAAAGTGAAGCTGGTTTTGGTTGAAGGAGGTTTCGAGATGTTTTTTCCTCGTGAAGAACGTCATCATTTACACCCTCACGCTCTCTTCTCTTCGTCTTTTTCCTTCTTTAATTAATTTAATCATAATTCCACTTTAGTTCTTTCCAGCAGTAAACTACTCCCTCTCTGTCTCTCCGCCTTTAGCCATTTTAGAGACTTATCCTAAATCCTTGATTTAGGATTCTTTGTTTTTTTTTCAAAAAAACTGTTTCTAATTTATGTTTTCATATTTTTTTCCTACCAAATAATATCATAATAAGTGCCCATCTGATAATTATTTTCGTTTTATGTTTATATTTTTATTTGGAAGGAAAATACGTCCAAGCATTTTTTTTGGTAGGGTAAAATTTGTTATAAGATTTTTAAAAGCAAGAATATAAAAACATGTTGAGTAAAAATGTGTTGCAAGATAAAAAAAATAAAATGATTAAAAAAAAATTATTGCTACAACCAATAAGCCTGTAGTCTAGCGATATCAAACTCCTACTTCTCAACGAGAGGTCAAGGATTTGAGCCTCAGTAGAGACATATGTGTGACTACCAATTAGGTAAAAAAAAAAAAAAAAAAAAACTATTACTACACAAAAAAATTTTATTATTATTTTTTTCCGGGACATGATATTATTCCTTTATTTTTTTTTTACATTGTAACAAAAATTACCAAATACTCTCTAGTTTTTGTTTCGCTACAACACACTACTTCCAACAAAAAAATAAATGTTTAAAAACTGTTTTTAACATGCCTTAAACCTTTTAATTTAATTTGCTAAAAAGGAGGCATATTTGCCATCCCAAATAATAAATTTTACACTCCACTCCTCATCATAAAGCAAAATGAGTTCATCCTCGAATGTGGTTTTATTTAAACCAAAATAAATAAGTGATGAACCTCACTAATAACCACTATTTTCAACCATACCAAAACTCCTATTATATGATAATTTTCAAACTCAAAAATATTTCTCGAAATAAGAAATTTTAAGCTAGAAAGAAAAACCGAAAAAATTTAGACAAAAAAGTGATTTACAAGACTATAACTCTTATGAAATTACGTTTGAATAAGCAGGATGGGGGAAAATATATATATATATATATATATAAATCCCGAGAAAGCAAAAAGCAAAAGAAAAAAAAAAGTGTTAACGATTTGTCATATTGGGTATCTTGGAATAGAAAAGAATGAAAATGATAAACAATTATTGAAATAATGAAGGGAAAACAACCACTTCATTAGGTATTTATAAATTTGACGGTTACATTCAATAAGAATGCAAAATCATTGTTAAGGAATGCAGTGGGCAACTTGCTGAAAGAAAGGAATTTGAGAGAGAAAGGAAAGGAAAGGAAAGGAAAGAAAAGAAAAGTAATTTGAGAGAGAAAGGAAAGGAAAACCAATTCAATTTTTTTTTTTTTTTTTTTTTTTGAAAGGTAAAACCAATTCAAATTGCTGAAACATACTTTACAGAGGGCGTGCCCTCCACTATCCAATTGTCCAAATAGCAAGTCATATTCAAATGTTCTGCACTATGTAGAATTATATTACTTTATTGTCTATTTCTTTGTTATCTAAACATTTTCTTTTTTGGGTAGGTATTGGCTTTATTTTTTATTTTTTTTTTAGCTTTTTTTGTGTTTATAAAATGGTCTTACACGTTATTTGAAATCTTAATTCAGTATTTAATTCTGAATAAATAGATTAAGCGTTTATTTAATTAAACGCATTTGATAATTTGAATATCATTGATAATGATAAACGTCACTTAAAATATGATAAAATTTTAAGCAACAGGAACATCATTTATAATCTTGTTGTTAGAAATAAGAGATAGAATTGAACTCTGTATATTGATGTAAATTATAAGAGATACAAGAGGGGTTTATATAAGAAGGGTTATGAGTGATGAATAAGTAATCCGATATAAGGTAACTATATTTTATAATCCTATACAAGGTAACTATATATTGTAATCCTATACAAGGTAGTAGATATTATATAATATAGTAAGAATATATATTTAATATATTTTAACAGCCCCCCTCAAACTCAAGGTGGATTGAATGAAACCATCTTGAGTTTGGAAATGAAATCTTGAAAGCGACATGACGGAAGCGATTTGGTGAAAGCATTAGCGATCTGATCATGTGAAGTGATAGACCGCAATTGTAAGGTCTTCTGAAGAAGATGATGACGAACAAAATGATAGTAAATCTCAATATGTTTTGTGTGCTCATGAAAAACATCATTATGTGCAATCTGGATTGCACTCCTATTATCACAATAAATAGGAATGGCAGTGGATGAAGAAACGCCCATGTCTTGAAGGAGCCAACGCAACCATAGAAGCTCAGAAGTAGTATCAGCAAGCGCCCTGTACTCAGCTTCTGTGTTAGATCGTGCAACGACAATATATTTCTTGCTACGCCAAGAGATAAGTGAATCACCAAGAAAGAAACGCCAAGAGATAAGTGAATCACCAAGAAAGAAACAATAGCCGATGGTGGAACGACGATCAGTAGGGTCTCCTGCCCAGTCTGCATCGGAATAAGCATAAAGAATAAGCAATGACTGGAAAGAATAAGGCAGTCCATGAAACATAGTGCCTTTGAGATAACGAAGGATGCGATGAACAACAACAAAATGAGTGGACCGAGGGGCAGTCATGAACTGACTAACTATGTGAACGGCATGAGAGATGTTGGGACGAGTGACAGTGAGATGAACCAGACTACCTACCAATTGGCAATACAAAGTACCATCTCGAAGAGATTCTCCATCATGTAGATTAAGTCTAATATTGCACTCAAGGGGGGTATCAACAATCTTGCTGTCAGTGAGACCGAATTTCGAGAGAAGATCGGATATGTATTTCGCTTAAGTAAGATAGTATCCATCTATAGAGGTACTTATCTCAAGACCAAGAAAATAACTAAGGGGTCCAAGATCCTTTATCTTGAACTGATGATTGAGAAATTGTTTAAGCTCCTGAATTCCTATCAAATCATCTCCAGTAATGATCATATCATCAACATAAAGTAAAAGGAGAATGATACCTCGATTGGTGCGGTGAACAAATAAAGCAGAGTCATATGGACTAGCAGAGTAGCCAAGTCAAGAGATAGTCTGACTGAATTTGGCAAACCAAGCTCGCGGTGCCTATTTGAGACCATATAAAGCACGTCTAAGGCGGCACACCTTTTTAGAAGGATGAGGATAACCTAGAGGAGGCTGCATGTATACTTCCTCGAGTAAATCACCATTGAGAAAAGCATTCTTAACATCCATTTGAAAAAGTCCCCAATGATGAGAAGCGGCCACGGCAATAAGAGTTCGAACAAAGGAAAAACGTGCAACAGGAGCAAATGTCTCCTCAAAATCAATACCATATTCCTGTGTGAACCCTCTAGCAATAAGTTGAGCTTTGTAGTGCTCTATAGACCCATCTGAATGAGTCTTGATCTTGTAAACCCATTTGCATCCTACAGCAGACTTTCGAGGAGGCAGATAAACCAGATCCCATGTATGAGTTTTAAATAGTGCACCTAACTCTTTTTGCATTGCATGCTGCTATATGGGGTCAGAGGATGCCTCACGAAAATTTTAAGGTTCATGTAAGGTAGCAAGAGCATGATAACAATGAATATCACTGAGATGTGCAGGTGGATTTCTTACCCGGGTGGAATGAGGGAGAAGATGTGTGGTAGGCGCACTATCAGGAACCTCGAACTGAGCAGATGAGTGGGACGCAGCCAGCAAAGGGTTGACTATATCAGATGATTCTGTGGAAGTTGGAAAGAGATCTGCAGAGGTTTCAAATGGGGGAAGAGGAAAAGCCTGATCATGGACGCCACTAAACTTAGATAATGTATGAAACGGTTTATACTCCCAGAAAATGACATGATGAGAAATTTTGAGGCATTTATCAACAGGATCATAACATCTATACCCCTTTTATTCAATTCCATAGCCAAGAAAACAACAAAGTCGAGAACGTGGTTGTAACTTATTTCGTTCATGAGGTTGAAAAAGAACAAAACAGGCACACCCAAAGACTCTAAGATGACTGTAGTCGGGAAGTTTTCCATAGTGACGTTCATAGGGTGTTTGAATTTGTAAAAGTGGTGTTGGAACACGATTCATGGTATAAACAGTAGTAAGAGATGCTTCACCCCAAAAAGATGAAGGCACAGAAGCAGAAAGAGTGAGGGAACGAGTTAAATCTAAAATATGCCAAAGTTTTCGTTCAGCTCGACCATTCTGTTGAGATATGCCAGTACAAGAAGTGTGAAAAATTGTACCGTAATGTTGAAAAAAAATTTGAAATTCATTTTATCGGTACTCTTGAGCATTATCAGATCAAAACATTTTAATTAGTTTGGAAAACTGAGTAGCAATCATTTGAGTAAAATCACGAAATATTTTAAGTAATTCAAAACGATTTTTCATTAAAAAAATCTATGTGAATCGTAAAAAATCATCAACAAACACAACAAAATATCATGATCCTCCCATAGTAGATATAGTCAAAGGTCCCCAAACATCAGAATGAATAAGGTAAAATGGAGCAGAAGCAAAAGACTCACTTTTATTAAATGGTAAGGCAGGCTGTTTTCCCAATTGACATGAAATACAATCAAAAGACGCAAGTTTAACCTAACCTAACAAACCAGTAGATACAAGGGTTTTGACACGAGATAATGACGCATGACCCAACAAACGTATGTGAGGAGAAA